TTTAAGACTTTTTTGATAATTAAATCATAAATTTGTTAGTGTTACATAAGCAGTACAGTAGTTTGAATAGCATATGAATAAAAATAATTTAAGTCTAACCTAGGGTCCACTGGGCCTCTTAAAAGGAGGATGTATTCTAGGTTTACAGGAAGGCCGCTGGACTCCCTCCTGGGTGTGGTGGAAATAAGGGCTGGCTGGAAGTGCCACTTTTCTGGAGAAGGACCTGTGTCTGCAAATTCCTGGGAACATTCCAGAAATGAGGCTATCACAGAAGAGCTTAGAGGGGTGCGAAAGAACGTGTCATTGAGAACAGACCCTCTTTCCCCAGCTTTCCCACAGCTGGCCCTCCTGACTCTCAGAGATTTGCCCTGCGCCATCTATCGTGCTAAGCACTGGCATACACCAGTGAGTGCATGGACATAGGCACTGGCACATGGCAGTGAGTGCGTGGACATAGGCACTGGCACACGGCAGTGAGTGCATGGACATAGGCACTGGCACACGGCAGTGAGTGCATGGACATAGGCACTGGCACACGGCAGTGAGTGCATGGACATAGGCACTGGCACACGGCAGTGAGTGCACGGACATCGGCACTGGCACACGGCAGTGAGTGCGCAGACATAGGCACTGGCACACGGCAGTGAGTGTGCGGACATAGGCACTGGCACACGGCAGTGAGTGCGCGGACATAGGCACTGGCACACGGCAGTGAGTGCATGGACATAGGCACTGGCACACGGCAGTGAGTGCGCAGACATAGGCACTGGCATACAGCAGTGAGTGCATGGACATTCTTCCCACCCCCAAGAAGCTTACCATGGAATGGACCATCCTATTTAAACTTTAATTCTCAGCTCTCACTTCTCATCCTTTTATACAGACCTGTTATTAGAATCAGGCACCAAATTCCCCCGCCACTTCTGCAAACAAACAAAATTATTTTGATTTANGGACATAGGCACTGGCACACGGCAGTGAGTGCACGGACATAGGCACTGGCACACGGCAGTGAGTGCGTGGACATAGGCACTGGCACACGGCAGTGAGTGCGCGGACGTAGGCACTGGCACGCGGCAGTGAGTGCGCGGACATAGGCACTGGCACACGGCAGTGAGTGCGCGGACATAGGCACTGGCATACGGCAGTGAGTTCATGGACATGCTTCCCACCCCCAAGAAGCTTACCATGGAATGGACCGTCCTATTTAAACTTTAATTCTCAGCTCTCACTTCTCATCCTTTTCCACAGACCTGTCTTTAGAATCAGGCACCAAATCCCCCCGCCACTTCTGCAAACAAACAAAATTATTTTGATTTATTTCAACCACATACACAGAAGGGGGCATATCCCAGGTGTGTCTTGAACATTTCCTCCAGCCTTTTTCCTCAGTGCTTGTCTGAGTCTAGGCCAGGTGCCTACAGAAAGCAAGGGCTTTGGAATTAGGGAGTCATGGAAATTTAGGTCAGTTCTTAGAAACAGAACATGAGGCAGAGTTTTGAAGATACATGATTTGTTGATTTATTCAGGAAGAACTCGGGAGGGAGGAAGGGAAGCAGGAAATGAAGGGGAAAGAGTGGAGCAAGAATGAGGTCTCAGAAAAAATCAGATTTGAACCACAGAGCACAGAGCATTCTGGAGCATAAACGATATCACAGGCTTTCTGTGTGTGTGTGTGTGTGTGTGTGTGTGTGTGTGTGTGTGTGTGTGTGTGTGTGT